ATTTGCAAAACAGAAGAAGGAAGCAGATGTAGACAATAGTAGCCATATATTCAAATGAAAAGTTGCAGTGATTTTTTTTTTTAATTGCTTTAAGGAACCTTAGATAGCAACCTAGTATTCACCAGGTAAGCCCTGACCTGCAGTATTGTCTTGTTTGAACATTAGATGCTTTTATAAATTCATATATCAGAGTGCTTTTAAGAAATACGTCTTGGTTTCTATGCTTTCAATATCAAGGAAGAGCTGAAAATCTCATTTCTCATAACATTAATTTCAAGTGGCTCTTGCTAGGAGACAAGTCTCCTAAACCTGCCAAACAAAATATTTGAAATTCTCGACTACACAAAACATTTTCCCAATTTCCTTCTTTACTGACTGAGACAATTTTTATGTAGCAACAGAATAGTGCCACAGACACTATGGCATTATACCACATGCTAAAAGAGTGCCCATGGTCTCTCACAACACTTGAGCACAACACCTGTAGACTTTGGGGATGTAAAACCTCCAAAAGCAACACATTTCATCTGAGGTGAAAAAACCCTTAAATTCTGGAAGGTGCAAGCTGAGCAATGCCCACCTCAGATGAAACTGGAATCAGTTTTTGAATCCAGATTCCTTAAATGTAGCTCAGTTAAGCACGAGTTGTGAAGATACTCAGACTGCAGACTCAGAGGAAGAGCCGAGCACGGTGGTGATTTGTGCCATTTTCACATCACGTCTCCATAGATTAGCAGGGAGCCAGCAAAAAATGATCTTTATGAAGAGAAAAGCAACTTTCACTTGATTAAAATGTTAATGACCTCCTGAGAGTTCTTCGGTTTATTTTCTTCTTGCCCCGAGTTTTTATCACGCAAAAATGTTCAGTAATCTAGCATATTTCAAATATTTGGCCTATATATTTCCGTATTTCTGCTGAAAAGACGCAACATAAACAGAACATAAATCAAAAAGAGCCCTTCTACACAATTTAATACCATTTTCTTACAGAAATACAATTATTATATCTCACAAAGGGGAAAAAATATTTTAAACGGACTGTAAAGAATTCAAGGCATCTCTCAGTGCCTCAGACTCTCTTCTGGCTCTGTAACTCCCTAGTCTGACTCCTAAGAACCTGCTGGATTCCAACATCCTGTTGAGTCCTCAGGTTCATTTGATATTAATCCCTTACAATGGTATTACAACTCTTAACCTCAGTGTATTCACTTAGAGAGGTTTTGCACCTACAATTCAAATTTTGCATTACAGAATTTTAAGCTCAGCCAGTCTCATTTATGATTTTGTGACAGATAGTATTTTTTCCTATGTCTTTTTTTTTTTGTGCCACACTGTCCCTCTCTGTCTCCTGGTGAGAAAAACAGACTCGATACTTCCTTTTTGTGTTCCCAAATTGTTTTTCTTTTAGAAATGCTTTATAAAGAGGGTAGTTTCTGGTTAGCACATCTCCTCATATGTTTCACCAAGTGTATTTTCGTTACATGAGCTGTAAAACTGTGGGCCAAACTCTGTCTTTTAAGAGAGTCCTTGACACCAAAGCTTTTTAACTGATCCACTGAGGAATAAGAAGTGGAATGTTACCTAAAGTAGCCTTGCTGAAACTACAAAACACCTCCCAGTTGGATGATTATACAGGTGGCTGTTGTTCCACATGTAAAACTGTTACATGCTACAGAAACAGGAAAAAATGTGAAGTCACATCCCTAAAGAGGAATGTATGGAAAACAGGGTACTTCCCTCCTCTGCTTACTGAAAGAGAAACTAAGATTTTAAGTTACTTCAAAATGAGATGCAGTTTTGTTCCAGTTCTTTTGAAAACTTTGAGAGGAAGAGTTGTAACTTTTCACTTTAGCAATATTATATAAAGATAACTTCTGGCTTTTCTTTAGCATCAAACTGTTTACCGAGTTTAATCTGAGTTGATGTAGCACTTAATTGCTCCAAGAGCTCCAATTTTAGGAGGCAAATCTACCATTTCTAGGGTAGATTTCCATAATGGATTTCTACCACTCCATTTGCACACCAGCAGTAGATGCATTTGGCCTAAAACTGAGTTAGCTGCTCTATTAGTAATTCTGAGGCAAAACTAATCAAACATTGGGACACAGGACCAAGAAGAGCTACACATTAATGTCTCACTATTTTTCTTCAAGATAGAGTATTTATATTCAAATATAAATTACAAGTTTGATGAAGGAATTGCAACATAAGTTGTTATGGCCTGAGTTACACTGGAGATAAAATACAATTATACTGCTCCATTTGATCTTTCCCTCTCAAAGCTTCTGTTAACTCAGTCTTTCACAAAAGACAATGCCATGCCAACACAAATTAAGAATATCCAAGTCAGGGAAATACTGTAGAAGACAAGAAAGCCACTGTTTTCATTTCACTAGCTAGTGGGAGGCAAGCACTAGAAAGTATGATTTTTAAACTACATGGCAACCTGTTGAAAAACGTGAAAACCCTTTGGCAGGTGTGGACGAATGCATTGCCTTTCTGCAGCATAATAGCACTGGAGACACACACCAAGGATTTCAAAGTAAATGTCATGCCAAGGGATTTTAAATTTCAAAATAAAAAAAAAATGCAGTAATTCAGGGAGATAAATTCATTATGGTAGCTTCAGAACAACAAGATCAATGCATTCAGAAGGCACATGGTACAGTGCTTATTTATTTACTGCTGTGACTTCAGAATACAGAGCATCTCTGATGATGGCAGCTGCCAACAGCATCAGCAGAAGTGTTTACAGCCACTCAGGATGCTTAGGAGGGAGATTAAGTTGCACTTTACCTCTGGCACAGTACTACAAACGTTATTCTTGAATACCTCTTCAGGAAGCAACATTCAAACTTGGTGGTCGGATTCAGAACAGGAAACGTCTCTGCATCTCAGTGCGAGTGAGCGCCACGAACTGCAAGGCCAGATCTGTAATGACTGCCATTAAATCCACCCTGCCATTTACCCCTGCACAGCATTTTCTCTGTTATTTAGGGCAATCTACCATAAAACCTAGTCATTAAAAAAGCCGTGTTTAGTGTTAGGACAAGGATGTCCCACGATGTGTTTCAAAGTCTAAGCATCCGCACATTTAAGATATTTATTAAAAAGTTTATTCAAGATCTGTGGGACTGTTCCCTTACACCCTGGTGTCAGTGAAAGGCAGCACTATCTCAGCTAGTTAATTTGCTGGTTAGGACTTTGTGCTGAAGGATTTTGTTTTTACAGGAGCTAAAACATTTCATCTAACATTTTGGTGTTTAACTCTGGGGTTCGAGTTCTTCTCCTGGGGAAGAAATTTAATTGATGGCATTATTAGTATGTGTTGAAAAGTTGCTAGCGGGGAGGCCAAGATAATTTCACAAGTCAATGCCTGATACGTGTGAGCACTGTGTTTCCTGAGGTTTTATGGTTGTAGAGCGGGAAAAGCTATTTATAACGCTGTCCAGGAGGTGGCAGGAGAAGTTAACCAAAGCTTCAGTGGTCCCTTCGTGTCAAGCTGCAAGGCAGGAACAGGAACTGCCCCCCCACTAATTCACAGGTCCATTAAGAGTCGGGGAGCACAAGAGTCACCACAAGGAAAGGCGATGAAACCTAGATCACTCATGAGTCACTGAAAAATCAAAAAGTCTCTCGCTGAATTTCTTGACTGTAATGTCTATGCCTGTGTATTTCATGCATTTACAGACACAATCCATTTTTTTAAGGAAATCAGATTTGCAACAGCATTCCAGCACCGTAATTAATACCTGGAGCACAATTCCATTTTTATTCCGGTTTCGTTTCAGCTTCGTTTTACAGAAAGTAATTTTGCAACATTCAGTTTACCAGAAAGCCAACAATTCGAAGAAATACAGTGGCAAAAAAAAGAGAGAATGAGAAGGAAAAAAAAAGAAACCCAAAACAGTGACCCAACTGAAAACCATCCGTCACTGATGTTCACACTTTGTAGCTGGAACATTGGAATACCAACTATTTTTATTGAGAAACCTCATTAGTACTTTCATATTTAGCCATATTGCAACAACAGCAGGAAAGCCCAGGCCACAACACTAGACTTTGTACAGAAAAAGTCAGTCCCTAATTTGAGTTAAAAATAAAAAGAATGAGTAATGCAAAAATCAGCCTCTGCCCATATTTCCTAGAATTTGTGCTTTGTTCATCCTCTTTTAATTATTTCAAACTCTATTTATCACTCAGTACATTTTCCTATTCTTTCACAACCACTGTGCACAGGAAAAAGGATCAGTCTCTCAGGAATTATAGATTGGTTAGGCAGCAGCCATTAATTAAAATCAAAGTTTTCTGGCTTTGTAGCAATTATTAAATGGTATTCACTTCATTTTTCCCCAGTAGAACAAACAAAAAATTTAGAGAAATTATTCAGATTTAGCCAAAATACCAGCCTCAAGAAAAAAAATATGCAGAATAATGTCTTTCATAAATTAGTAATTCATGCAGATGGGCAGCCTGGGATGAGAATGCCTGGTACTGTTACTTACTCAGATGTTTAAGTGATAATTTTTTGTTTCTAGGAGCACAACTACTACAGTATGAAAGTTACAGCTGAAGAGGCATGAAGCAAACAAGTTCTCTTTTGTTGTATGCAGCACAGAAAATGCAGTGAGTAGTTTAGGAACATAAAAACATTAGCAAGTATCAATCTTCTACCAGAGCAGATCAAACCATGCCACAGGCAGCCTGTGACAGAGCTTCACTGCTGATTCATGTGTGCTCTGGTAGCAGAAAACTTCTTAGATGATGATGACTTAGTAATTAGGGACTTCCACCCAAGGTAACCAGTGGAGAATTAGTCTGCAGCACGTTTTCTCGAACTTTCCCCTCAGATTTTCAGCTTGGGGAGGTGAAAAATTAAAATAAAATAAAGGCATTTTCTGCAGAAACATGAAGTTTTGTGGGGAAGATATCAGGACTTTTCTGGATTATCTGAGTTGTCTCTGGAGTAGTTCACGGAACTTGCCAAATCATCCACTCACCTGTTAAATGAACAGTCACATGTGTCATTGCAGAATGGCTCAAAGATGGAATGCAGTGTTAGAGACCACACCCATATACGTGTCTGCAGGGTCAGTTTTCTCCATAAAGCAACAGAAAGCTGGTAGGCAAAATGCATCTTGAAAACAGCAAGGCAGCAGTGGGCACAACAGCCCTGAAATCAGACTTTATGTCATTCAATATTGACAATTCGTACTGGGACGCAGGAGAAAAGACCTGCAGGGTCAAGGTCATCATCTGTGCACACAAGGGCGGGGGCACTGGGTGTGACAAGGTCATGAAGGCAGGAGACACAACTCTAACCAAAGTAGAGCACCCAGACATCTTCCCCATCCCTCAGCTCTGCCTCACAGCCAGAGAGGAAACTCAGGGCTGAGCACATGAGAGAAAAAAAAAAAAAAAAAAAGAAAACAGAGATAGGGAAGCCAGAGATGGTGGCAAGTCTGACATCCAGAGCATAAAGTGTAACTTTCCTAGCTTACCCCCACCCTCGGATCATGGGATACTCCCCAGCATTTTATTGCATCATTTGTACTTTGCTTCTAATCACACGGATTTACTGAGGATCCTTAGGAAGGTGAGAGCTCAGCCTCATGCTTTGGTCTCCTAAGGACACTGGTAGGCTAAATTCAGTTCCAAAGGGAAGGGAGGTCATGAAGTATTATTTTTTCTTTTTTTCAAAAACAGAATGAAAGTGGCCTTTGCAAGATTTTCTTCGCTTGTATCATGATTGAGTACAAAAGGGTAAACTGCTTTGATTTGCCATTAACTTTAAAAGCATCCAATTTTAGTACTCCACCACAGCAGAGGGGCTATAAATTAGTCTGTGTTCAGCAGAGGAGTGATGGCCTCATCTGAAGTTCTCCCAGCTCCTGCGTTCATTAGAGACCTCTCCTTGGATGGGAACAGAACAAACTCTTATCAACCTCAGCTAATTTCCCTCTTAGACAGGGTAACAAGCTGTGCAACTACAAGAGAAGATAACTTTGTATCTGGATGTTAGAAAGAAGTGGTGGCGTCCTGAGTCACATTCCTATTAGGAATGGGAACTGAGTGGCAGGTCTGAAATAGTATATTTAAAAACCAAAACCAAAACCAAAACCAAAACCAAAACCAAACCAAACCAAACCAAACCAACAAAAAAAACCAAAACAAAACAAAACAGAAAAAACCCACACCAAACCCCCCCAAAATCACTTAAAATATAGCTATCAGTGATTTGTTTTCTAAATGGAAGGGAAAGGAAGAAATTTTCTGTAGAGACCTGAATGAAGTGGAGCAGTGTCCTTACTTTGGAAACCAACCACCCTACCAAAGGCATCAAATGTAAAAAGATGCAAGAGAAACTAAGAAATAGTTGGGGGGGGGGGGAAGAAGCTTCAAAACACAGCACAAAACTTCAAAATTCCTCCAAATGACAAGCACAGGGGGATTGTGGTTGGGCAAGGATGAGTAAGTGCACAGAACAGGATGGGAAAGTGGTCAAGAAACAACTTTACTGACCTGGCATCAGAGCAGATTACCTAATAAAACAAAACAAGATAACTCCCAAACCAAACCAAACGAACCCTGGGATATAGAAACAGAAAGTTTAATAGTCTCATACAGTAATCCTTCTGTTTTATTCTGAACTGATAAAGCCTGTGCTGGAATATGTAGTTTTTAGCATCTTATTTAAAAAACAGTGGAGGTATCTTAAAGAAGAGGTTTGACAATTATAACAGGCATAGAAAAAATTAAGTATGAAGAACAATTGTCACCTTTCCTTACTTCTCTTCTTATGGACAGCTTATTAAGTGTATTAAGTCTCCAGATACAGAAGGTTTTTGCCACAGTGAGGCATTCTGGGAACAAAGAACAAGAAAAGTATGGATCCCTTATGCTGGGTCAGAAACATGTTAGACATCTAAGATAATATAGGTAAGGGTCTATTGCAAACTTCCCCCGTAAAATGGAGATGAACTTCAGAGACAATAGTTAAAATTCTGTTATTAAAAGACATTAGTTTCCTCTATGAAGAATGGAGAGCAAATGTAAGTAATAAAATTATCAGAAGCACTTGAATTTAATAGAAAGTTAGCTTTGGGCATTCACTAAGAAAACCATGTTTTATGTTAAGATAATGCAGGCTTAAATACAATTTTGAAAGGTAAGCATAGCATGGACCATAGAGAAAAACTGATCATAAAAATGGTTCTGTTTTAAGATTATAACACAAGAGATTATAGAATCAAGCTTATGATTTCAAAAAGGCAAATAGAGAAAGTCAGGGATTTCACCTGGACTGAAAACTCCAACAGCTAAATGGGAACTTAACCAAGTGCACCCTGAGGTTGGGGATCAGTGGTGTTTCCCCATCTTCATATAAACTTAATACAGGACTAAACATGCTTACCTCCTAAAAGTGAAAAGGATTAAGACAGAAGAAATAAGGATAGAGCTACAAAGGTCAGCAAAGGGAGAGCTTGAAGTGTGGGCACAACACAGGAATTGCTAGAAGTGGAGTCAGAAACAAATTAGTAGAAATAACACATGGTTCAGTAGAATACACTGGGGAAAAACGTAAAAGAATAGAAGTTAGTTTATCATGTAGTAGAGGAGTAAGTTTAAGATAAAAATTAACACACTCATATTCTAAGGCTGCAATAATATTCTGCCTCCATTTTCAATAAAGTAATTTGGAATGCAGGTCAAGTAGTTAGCAAGATGAGGAGTCATTACATGTAATAGAGAAGCATATTGCCAAAATTTACCCCTAATACAGTCACATCAGAAGAGCTGAGTCCTTTCTTCCTCAAAATACTGACAGATTGTATCCTTGAAATACAGGTCCGGTGAGAAGGGTTTTGGAGGTCAGTTAGATCAGGTTTTTTTTTGCTTTAAAAGATGTCAAACTAAGGCAGCTGCAGATTAACAAAGACCACAATGATACCTGTACATTAAAGGGACAGTAGTATTCAAGAACTATGAAAAAGTCTTGGAGGAGATAATGAGAAACAGATATAAACAAGAAAAAGGGAGAAAATTCAGCCTGCATTCACCAAAGGTGTCTTTGATAAGCAACTTCTATTTTATTAAGATAGCAGTTTTACCAGCAAAGGAGTTCTTTCAATCCAAAATGTTCTTAGCCCATTTGATCTGGTCTAACACGCACAACATGTATAAAAGATACATTTTACCCACGTTTTTTTAAAAAAAAAAAATTGTAGAGCAGGTTAAGATCTGGCTAAGGGAAAAACAATATTACAATTTGCTGACAGGGAAACTGTTGGTATGGAGGTAAGTACAGGAGCTTAACTCCACAAACATGGGTACTAAGTATTTAATTAAAGGTGGTGGCACAAAAATGCAAGTTTATCAAAGTGTAATGGATGAAATGGTTGTACACTGGCAAATGCAAAGTGGTCTGAGGAAACTTGAGGACTGATGTAAGTGAAATGAAATAGAATATGAAATCAAAGATCACTCATTAGCATTTGATCAGAATATTTCCTACAAATCCACGCTCATGAATCAAAATAGGCCAAGAGGGAGGAAGTCTTAAAGAATGATGGATCCACTAGTGATGTGTCACTGTGAAAGGACAAATATGACATATCAGGCTACATTTTTGACAGAAATAGGAAAGTACAAAACACTGTTCAGCTCTTCACTATGGTTATAAACCACCTGAACCATGAGCAAATTAATCCAAAGCAAAACATGGCTGTAAACCACTTGGAGCACTGGAACTATAATCAGAAAAACTGTAGGACAGAGTGATTCACTGGGCCTGCTAAGATGAAATGGTTGCTGTCTATCCTGATGAAGTAAAACCACCAGGGAAGTAGGAAATTCATTTAACCTAAGGAACAACATCACCCAATTAGTTTCAGTAGACCCTTAATTAATTTTGACCAGAAATTTTAAAACGGTCAAAACACAAGGAAAGTGATATTCTGGTGCAGGTATTTATCAAAAGCATCCAGGACAGGAAATCACAGTAGTATAGTTCAGAAAAAGAGATAAATGAATTCTCATGGCAGAAAAAAAATAGGTCTCTTTATCTAAGTGCTCCTTTAGAGTACATTTTTGGAATAAGAAGCTGTGCAGTTTTGTACTTAGAGCAGCCAGCATAGTTGTGAAAGGTTCTCTGAGTGACTCCAAGTTTTATAGGTTAATTTTGATTTGGGAGTTGGGTCAATATTCTGTTCAGGGTTGTTTTTCTTCTCTTCTCCATCTTAAATATGATTCACTTATTGCTAACATGTGCTGTGTCTGAGTAGCAGGAGGAAACATTTCTGCCTGTGAAGCACAGGATAAAAAAAAAAATACAGCTGGCTTGTGTATACACTTGAAAAAAAATGCTCTTGCTGTTTTTACTCCTTTAGAAGTGTTGGGCAGCTTGTACTATTAATGCCATATCATTCTTTGAAGGCAGATTCTGATATCTGTGCCAGGAGAAGAAATAACTTTCATCTTTTAAAAGAATTAGTTGCTGGTGTAAGAGGTCATTACAACATTTTCCTGTGAATCATGAGCTGGATAATAAAGCCAATAGTCCAACAAGACTTCACATCCCACTATTGCCCTGGGACTCTGAAGAATGCACATTGAAAAACTCAAATGCAAATTATCTGTGACTGCACTCCCCTCAATTGCTGTTGTTAAAAGCAAACAGTCAGTAAAATTCCAGAGATAGATAAAAATGCTTATCAGATTAACGAGAGTGATGCACAAAAAAAAAGAAACTGACTGGATAGCACACTTTTTTCAATTATATTTTTATATAACTGGATGCAATCAAAAGTATTTATATCACTTTACCTTCATAGCCTGCAAAGTCACAGTGGAACTGTCTTGGGCCCTAGAAATTGTGTGCTAGAAGGTTTATCTATTCATGCAAGCATTAAACTACACAATGTGGTATTCACTCCACAGCCTGCCCTCCAGACAAAAATTCTGAGATATCACCACGTGACACAAATGATCGACCCCAGCAGAAGACAAAGTCCAGTCCAGGGCTGAAGCTGTGGTAAAATGTATTTGTGAGGCACAAGGTCAATTGATAATTATTGCACATTTGGGAGGTGATATAACTAAGATAATCGAGAAGTCACCAAAATAATAAGTACCAAAAATAATAAGTATCAAACCTGATTTTTTTTGAAAAAAGTAAATGTACAAACAACACTCAACCCCTCACACCCCCATGTTTTCTCTGTGTTCTCAACATACAGATATAGATGCTGGTTGAA